AGAAATGGTGTCAATCTCTGCCGGATCTCTTCTGGGTCCAGGCACCCTAGAAAAAGGGTGGGTACGGCCTAAGCAGGCCGGGTGGGAATTTCGGGTTCAGGGTTTAGGGTTCAGGGTTCAGGGTTCAGGGTTTAGGGTTTATGGTTTAGGGGTTTACGGGTTTAGGGTTTACGGGTTTAGGGGTTTTAAGGTTTAGGTCAGGGGTTTTAAGGTTTAGGGTTTAGGGTTTAGGGGCTTAGGGTTCGGGGTTTAAGGTTTAGGGTTTAAGGGTAAGTTAGGGTCGAGCGTCTACGCAGGGTTTAAAGCTTAGGGTTCCTGTGGTGCGTTGCAACTTCTTGCTGGGCTGTCGGGCTGTAGAGTTGGCAGGTTTCGCTTTTGGAACACAGAGTGGCTTTTGGGGCTTCGAGCTTCATGAATGAGCGGTTTAGGGGTTTAGGGTTTAGGGTTTAGGGGGCTTCAAGGATATCCAGGGGTCCCTCCTGCAGGGCTGACAAGTAGGTACGAGCAAGCATTATAAGCAACAGAACTCGAATCAAGCCACTCGCAACCCTACTTGAGAGGGATTTGAGGGACAGTATACTCTTTATAATGGTGACTGGTGAACCCCTAAAGAGCTAAATTAACCTAATTAAACTCTAAACCATTAACCCTTAGCCAGGTTGCGCCCTTCCATGGAAGGTCTGACTGTGTGCGCCGCAGGGTTCGGTAGCGCTGCTGTAGAAACTCCTCCCAGGAGTGTATCCAAAGGGTTTGGAGTTTAGTATTTTCTTTGCCGTAGAACAGCGTGGGGCGACAGTACCGTAGCGAATTGCTGTAAAGCCGTGTCGAGTGCATTATACTATGGCGATGAGCTGTCAAAGCCTCTCCGTGAAAGGGTTTCTCCGTCTCTCTCCCCCCAGCTCGGGATTTCTAAGCCATCCAAACCTGTTCCACGTAGGGGCTAAGCCTAAACTCATACAGCCCTAAACCCCAAACCCTCAACCCTAAACCCTATACCCTAGACCCTATACCCTAAACCGCAGACCCAAAACCCTAAAACCCTAAACCCTAAACCCTAAAAGAGAGCCTCATAGAGGTCCACGATATGGAAGACCCTACAAGCAAATGCCCCGAAGTCACCCAAGACCCCTTAATTAAGGACTATACCTTAAAGGGCTCCTTAAAGGGATCTATAAGGGCTTCGGTTTAAGGGAATGAAGGAAGATACCTTAAATCACAATATTAAGGCCCATATAGTGTAAGGTATCTTCCTTATTAATTTATGGGTATAACGTAATGTATATTCCTTAGTTATGCCCAATAACATGTAAGGTCTATTCCTTAATTCAGGGGTATTGGGTTCTAAACCCTAAACCCTAAACCCTAAACCCTAAACCCTAAACCCTAAACCCTAAACCCTAAAACCCTAAACCCTAAACCCTAAACCCTAAACCCTAAACCGTTCTCTGGGAAGCCTTGGGAAAGCCCCTCCGAGGCAATTTTGGGGAGGCTGGGAGCCAAGCACCACTTCCATTAGGATTTAGGGTTTAGGATTTAGGATTTAGGGTTTAGGATTTAGGGTTTAGGGTTTAGGGTTTAGGGTTTAGGGTTTAGGGTTTAGGGGTTTTACGGTTTATTGGGTTTTGCGGTTTAGGGCTTAGGGGTTTTCAGGTTTAGGGTCTAGGGTTCAGGGTAAATAAACCCGAAGCCCCAACATCCCGACCGTAAACATGACTTCATATTTGGCTTGTAACAATGATCACTAAATATTTCTGGTGTTTCGCGAAAGCAGACCCTGAACTGAACCCTAAACTCCCTAAACCCTAAACCCTGAAAACCCTTAACCCTAGACCCTACAGCCTAAACTCCCTAAACCCTAAACCCTAAAAAACCCAAGCCCTAGCTAAACCCTAAAATACCCTAAACCTTAAAAGCCCTAAAAACCCTAGAAACCCTAAACACCAAACACCCAAACCCTAAACCCTAAACCCTATACGCCAAACACCCAAACCCTAGACCTGAACCCTAAACCCTAAATAAGCCGAGCCAAAGTCCTCCTCCAAGTCCAGGAAAGTGCTTCGGACAACAACCGAACTTAGGAAAGGCGTGAGCTCAGCTTCGGGCATGGGGTTAGGGTTTAGGGTTCAGGGTTTAGGGTTTAGGGCTTAAGGGTTCAAGGTTTTAGGATATAGGGTTTAGGGTTTTAGGGTTTTAGGGTTTAGAGTTGAGGGGTTTAGGGTTTAGGGTTTAGGGACCCTTTAAGAAATCTACAAGGGCTCCTTGAAGGGTTCCTTGAAGGGATCTGTAAGGCTCAGGGTTTAGGGTTTTGGGGTGTAGGGTTCGGTTTAGGGGTTGAGGCTTGTGGCGTTTTGGGCTCTGGAGTTTACGCTTTGGGGTTTAGAGTTTAGGGTTTAGAGTTTAGGGATTTCGGGCTTCATGGTTTGAGCTGCAGGTTGTGAGTTTTTCTGCACATGATAGGCAGGCTTTTGTTGAACCCAATTTTTCCGTCTGATGGAGCATCCTTCATCCAGAATCTGACAGGGTTTAGGGCTTGGGGTTGTGAGTTTAGGGATTTTGGTGTAGGGCTGACGGCTAGTTAGGGTTTAGGGCTTAGGGTTCAGGGTTTAGGGTTTGGGGTTTAGGGTTTCCAGTGCAGGGCATTGCTACAGCTCTCCGATGATCTGGACTACGACTGCGAATGACTGTTCAGTACGGGCCATCATCGTCACAGCCATGCTTGCAGGTGTGGGGAGCCTACTTAGACTTACAAGCTCTTCTATCTGGTGGCCTGTTACATGCCCGATTTTGTCGCCGGAGACTGGCGGACATACAGTAAAAGATGCGTTAACAGTAAAAGATGCGATAAATGCGGAACTTCCCTCTCTGCTTCGATGATCCACTTTTAGGGTTGCTGGCCTCTGCTCATTGGATCTTACAGCCCGAAACCATGCATCAGCCCAAATACACCCTCTGTCACTATTCGAATCTGTCTGACCCCATAGCCCGCAGCTTCCCTCATCACATGCCCAAGTCCCCAAACCCCAACTCTCAAGGGCCCCCGGGTTCATGTCAGTTGCATGTGTCATGGTGGGTTGGGAGGTAAAGGCCTCAAAAACCTCTCCGCTGTCTTTCGACGTGAGACTCCGTGTTTGTATGAGTCACGGGTGCTTGATGCGTCATGTATACCCTAACCCCTAAACCTATGTCTTCACAGGCCACGAACCCCAGACGCGGGCCTTGGGTTGAGACGTTGGGATGGGAGCTGTGTGGCAATCGCTACTCACCGCTGTACATATATATATATATATACATACATACATACATACATACATACATACATACATACATATATACATACATACATACATACATGGATGTATGTCTGTATGTATGTATGTATGTATGTATGTATGTATGTATGTATGTATGTATGTGTACAAGTATATATATATATATATACAGACCTCATAATTTCTCCAAGTGGCTGCCTCCTCCCCTGTGCCGGGGCGCCCCCTTCAGGCCGCGGCGAGGCCCAACAACAGGAGGTTGCCTGGGCAGTGAAGGTTTCGCAGTGGCCACGTTGATGAAAAAATGATACTAGTAAACCCTAAACCCTAAACCCCAAATCCTAACCCTAAACCATAAACCCTGAACCCCTAAAGCCCTAAAGCCCTAAACCCCGAAACTAGAAAGATCACTGTAAGAGCCCTAAGCCCAGAACCCAAAATCCTCACAATCTAGGGTTTAGGGTTTATGGTTCAGGAATCCGTAAACCCCCAGAAGAGGCCCAAGCCCTGAACCCAAAATCCAGGGCTCCGCCTGGGGGGTCTCGTCGTCGCTGCGCTCCGAAGGCAAAGTCGTCTCTCCTCCGGCCGAAGGGGTTTAAGGGTTTAAGGGTTTAGGGTTAAGGGTTAAGGGTTTAGGGTTTAGGGTTTAGGGTTTAGGGTTTAGGGTTTAGGGTTTAGGGCTTAAGGGTTTAGGGTTTGAGGGTTTAAGGGTTTAGGGTTGGGTGCACGGGTTGGGAGTTTAGGGGTTAGGGTTGAGTGGTTTCGGGCTTACCTCCACCCCAGATATAACCTACCTATTTAAAGATTTTTATCAGAAAAAAGGTAGGTTTTATAGGGTCCCAGGTAGGGGTTTAGGGGTTTCGAGTGCTGCTTTCAGTCTTTGATGAAGGTTGTTGCTGGTTGTCATCAGAGTCTATACAGTAAGCCGTTGTTGTTGAGGGCCTAAGCCCTAGACCCGCAACCCCACATTCCCAATGCCTCAATCGTAAACCCGAAATTCTCTGATGCGGTCTTCGTGTAAATTATAGAACAATTATGCATGGACTCTAAGGAGACATTGCTATTGATTCTATATTGGGATTCAGGATTCGCACCGTCGGGTGTACACGCATGCAGACGAGCAAAGCACAGGGGAGACCACTATCATTCAGAGTCCTGTAGATGTAAACCGAGTTTTTGCGGCCTCCGTACGTTGCGTAGGTGAAAAAACCCCACGCCTTCACGCTTCTATGTTCTTCGAGCTCTAAACTCTAAACTTAACGACTACACTTATACTACATCCAAACCCTACGTTCCAGAGGCCCTTCCCTGAGCTGCTGGGTTCTCTGTGTACTGACCTCTGGTCAAAAAGCGCGATGGCGTGAGGCTAGGCCTACACGTTTGGGTGGCTTGGCCGCCTTGGACGGCGTGGGGTGTACAGACAGGCTTTCGCAGCTCGTCGCCATAGTACGATGCACTCGACACAACCTTGTCGCAAGACACTATCGCCTAAGCATTATTCCACAGCAAAACCCCAAACCCTAAACCCTAATCCCTTAACCCTCAACCCGAAGCCCTTTTAGCGCTTCGGGGTCAGGAGGTTCGGGCCTAGGGTTTTGGGGTTTGCGGTTTTAGGGTTTAGGGTTTTTGGGTTTAGGGTTTAGGGCTTAGGTCTTTGAGATTTAGGATAGAGGGTTTAGGGTTTAGGGGTTTAGGGTTTAGAATTCAGGTTTTTAGGGTTTAGGGTTTAGGTTTTCTTCTGCTTTAGGGTTTAGCAGTTTGGGATACAGGGTTTAGGGCCCGGGGTTTAGGGCTCGTCGTGAAAACGACAGCTCTTTGCACGAAACAAGGTACCTGGACCCCTGCAAGGGGGCGAGGTAGCATTCTTATAGCTCTCTTATTGCTATATCTATTTATGATAAGTTTTCTTTTTAGTTGTTCATGATATTATATTGTCATTCTTACTATTATTGTTCCTCTTCTTATGAAATTTACGCAGTGTTATTGTTATGACCCACATTGGAATTGTTACCAATGTTTTGTTTAGGGCACCGGGTGTCAGATTCCGTACATCCTAAACCCTGACCTCTGAGCCCTAGACCCTAAACTCTAAACCTTAAACCTTAAACCCTAAACCCTAAACCCTAAGACCCTTTAAAGGAACCCTTATAGTACCCTTTAAAGGAACCCCTGAAAACCCAAAGCCCTACACCCTACACCCTAAAAGCCCTAAACGTACCTTAAAGCGTCTTGGTCCGGGGCTCCTTCGCTGTATCCGTCGGAAATGGTCTTGCCTCGGTCACTTTTCTGAGGCTGCATGTTTAGGGCACGTTCTCCAATACAATGTTCGGGCCTCCAAAGTTCGAAAAAGGGTTTAGGGTTTAGGGTTTAGGGTTTAAGGTTTAGGGTTTGGGGTTTAGGGTTCAGGGTGCTCAGGAGAAAGACGGTCAGAAAATGATGAAACCTCCTTGGGTGGCTCTCTCTAAATTAGGTTCTGTGTTTAAGTTCCAAAACAATAGTGTGTCGCCCTTCTTCAAAGGACCCTAAACGGGACCCTGATGTAGAGGACTAATGCAGGGGCCTTGATAGTTAGAATAAGGTTTTGGGGCCCAGTAGACTACAGTTACAATCACGGAACCCCCAAAACAGTATTGCTAATTAGTAGAAATAAAGCCCCCAAAATTACACTCCTAACCCCTACAAAAACCCGAAACCCTAAACCCCAAAATAGTATTGGTAAGTACTTAGGCACCTACATTACAGTAATATTACAATAATCGGTTAAAGCCTAAAACCTAAGCCCAAAAATAGTATTGGTAAGTATTTAGGCCCCTACATTACAGTCATACTATTAACCCTAAACCCTTTACTAAACTCTAAACCCTAAACCCTAAACCTTAAACCATTAAAGAAATACTATAATAATAGTGGTAGGAGCCTCGAGGGGATCCCTCTGTAAAGCACCCACAGCTTGAGAAACCCATAGAAACGTTTGGGATTTGGGGATTGGGGTTTAGGGTTTAGGGTTTAGGGTTTAGGGTTTGGGGTTTGGCGTTTAAGGTTTGGGGTTTAGGGTTTAGTTTTTAAG